CGCTGCATAAATCACAAAGCCTGACGAAGCACGGTTATAAGAAAAAATACTTGATTTTCACATTGTCGGTTAGGCATTTATTTCAACAGGCGACTGTTACCGCACTTCTGTGGCTACAGGTCGAAGGCGGAGGATGCACCCGAGTGCACACACTAGCACACGTGGCACTTGCTGCCGGACACTCACATCCCAAGCGTGCGTTTATTCGCACATCCCACGGCTCTAGGAAAAGCTACCTGTGAGACCGTCCCCTATTCACGCTCCCTGCGTGTCGCGTGGGGAGAAATGGTGCTCTGCAAGATTGTCCACCGCTTCTCCCTCCTGTTAGTCAAAAAAAAGCCAAACCAACCTCCCTCTCTTCCACAGTAATAGAGGAGTTTAACAAATCCCTCCTTTTTTCCAATGTGGAAGCAGCAGCCTTTTCCCGAACCAGCCCTATGAATATATTTGGTTATGTACACCCCCCGTATTTCGTTTTACTTTCAGAGTGTATTTTTCCTCAAGTTGTCCCACTTTTGGAAAGTCTTTTGTGAGCAACCACCGTTCTGCAGGAGCTGACGTATTTTCAGAAGTCAAAATGCTGAGGACTAGAGGCCAACAGTTACTTAGTGACTGAAAACAAAAACTCTTTAACAAAAAATTTCAGTTAGGGAGAGGTTAAAAAAAAAAAACAAAACAACCCATACCATTGTACTAAAGAGGTGTGCTGACAACATACTGATCAAAATCTCATATTCTCATGATTTTCCATTGCCACTGGCAATGATTGTTTTGCTGAGAAATGATGAATGTAAGCACTTAATGAGCGTGTCTCCTACTGCTGCAGCTAACATAATCTTGTGGTCTTTGGTGCCAACAAACCCCAAATGTACGATGACATGCGTAGAAGTCAAAACACTGTTGCCTTCAGAGCTTTCATACATTACCAGAAAAATCAGAGCTACTATGGCCCAGGAGGTTATTCTAATTATTATTTTTAGAAACCTTTGTTAGGCAGGTAAAATGGAAAAGGCGATGAAAATAAAAACTGAAGATAATGCAAAACAAAACAGAAACAAAAGAACAATTCAGTGTCAGATAAAGTATATTTAACGAAACAGCCACTTTTTCCTCCAACACAATTTGGTTTTTTGTATGAAAGTTCCTCTTACTAAAAAGTAGAAACTTATTAGCATTTCATGGCTACTTAAAGAGCATAAGAACAGTTTTAGCGAAATGGAGCATTCTGAGTCCAGCTGAAGCTATTCACAACTTTCATCCTAATGGGAAGCCAAATTTGTGCTATTCTGTACCCCTCCAGAATAGGGACTGGAGGGGTATCAGTCCCTATTTTGTGTTGTGGTAAACCACAACACAACACAAAAAGCCCCCACGCATTTTTTTCTCCCATAACCTCCTCCTATGTCTAGTAAAGGACAGGGCGGACAAAGAAAAGCTATTTTCTAGCCCATCATATTATGACAATGTAAGCCAGCCTCAACCACAGCTGGCACCCCTTAATGCCAAGCAGCACGCAAAGGTAAGCACACCAGGTGCCCAGTTCAAACCGGAGGAAGCCTTGGAGAAAGCAAGGATTCTCTCCACCGCACAAACCGGGACTGATAGACACACAAAGGCCCCACCGGCCAGGACTCGCAGGGCGGGTGGACTGCGGGCGGCCCTGCCTCAGCTGCCCGCTTCACCGTCTCCCAAATTCTTTCACTTGCTGCTTGCAAGGGATGTGCTGAATGGCAGGCCTGGTACAGCAGGATAACGGGGCAGCAATGTTGGTTTTCCCCAACGCACAAGGGATTTCAGGAGCTGCTTCCCAAAGCTCTGACCCAACCCACAACAGTAACCCCAAAAAGAGACGCAGAACTGGCAGCTATCCCCAAACAATTTCCCGAGTGTGAGCCTCTCATCCACGATGGAAGCCGGGGAGAAACCCTTCGCCAAAGGCCAGCCCCTCTCCTTTAGAAAACTTTAGCAATTTAAGTGACATACACATTTACTCCATTTATTTTCTTATTGGTGTAACCTCAATTTGTTCTGTGACACAAACCTTGAGAAAAATGGACTGAAAGATTGCTGTGTTCACAGTTTTTTACATCACTACCTTTGCCTTCTGCAGAAATGCTGCTTCGTATCTTCCTAGTAAAAACAGCGAGAAATAAAAACTAAAAGCATTACACTTCTCCACATTAGCAGTTCACTAGTTGATCCTTTGTCCTTTTCTTCCTACAGAAGCCAGAAGGTTAATGGCAAAATAAGCTGTTTTCTTTAACAGTGAAAGAACTTTTCTTCCCTGTGAAAGAAAAGTTCCTACCAGAGCACTCACCTCGTAAGGCAACCTGATCTACAGCAAAGTAGCTCAAAGCAAAAGCCTCCTAGGTAAGTTTTTTTAATATATATTTATATATTTTTAAAATGTGCGTGTGTGTATTTATTTTTTTATATATATATATAAAAGTAGGAACACCAAGCCAAAAATCTCAAACACTTGGAAGGATTAAATCTTCAAAAACATTTAAATAAACTAGAACAGTTTCCAGTAAAAATTAATAGATTCTTTTGAAAAATCCACTCCCGGTAATATCACTTGTTTAGACAGTCACATAAATGTCAAAGCTTGCATCTTCAGCATCTAAACATTCCAAACAACTTTCAAAAGATCTATTCAGTAAACCAATCAGACACTACTGTTTTCTTCTGTGTATTTCTGATCTGATAACACTATCAAAAGTTAATTGATTTTTAATGTTCCAAAGACACTGTACCTATTTGTAAGGTTTAAAATAATAATTTAATAATCTATAATCTCTATTCCTAAAATTAAAGGCACATCGCATAACCAGTATTCCAGCATAAGCAGATGTGAAAGATACACGCTTTCATGCAGCTCACCCAGAGCAGCTGCCACAGTAACCATCCGTACAGCTAGAACAGATCTTTGCAGTACGTCAGCTATTTGTGTTTTACGAAAGTCAATACCAGAGAACAGTAAGATGTTAACAGTAACTCTCTACATATTGTAAGGAAGCTGTACCTCAAGAAGATATAAAAATTAAGAAAATATTTGAATGTTACCGGCAATGTGTGTTTGACAATGAAATGTAAGTGGTTCATCGGTAGAAGCTTAGCCTTAAGTGCAAGGTCCTGCACCTGGGTCGGGGCAACCCCCCCGGTATCCAGACAGGCTGGGGGATGAAGGGATTGAGAGCAGCCCTGCCCAGAAGGGCTTGGGGGTGCTGGTGGATGAAAAGCTGGACATGAGCCGGCAATGTGCGCTCGCAGCCCAGAAGGCCAATCGTGGCCTGGGCTGCATCCAAAGAAGCGTGGCCAGCAGGTCGAGGGAGGGGATTCTGCCTCTCTCCTCTGTTCTGGTGAGACCCCCCCCCCGGAACACTGCATCCAGCTCTGGGGGCCTCAGCACAAGAAAGACACGGGACT